GGGGGGGGGGGCGCACTGTGGGTGCATGCATCCATACGCGCACCAATGGTTGACCTGTCAGACCGCACTGCACACGCCCCAGATGTCGTTCAAGAATGTCGGCCAATGCAAAAGCAAGCATCAATTGCCGTCAGCCACTCTATGCGCTCCTACAAACCATCCCCCGACGCACCTTGGTCCAGATCTAGGAAGCCACGCAACCCTCTCCCTCCCGATGGCGCTTCTCTTGCGCAACGAAGCACTCCGTTGTCAAGCGTCGCAGCGGGTTGGAGGAAAACTTTTCGAGCGCCGTTGTTCCGGACGCCCTTCCGAAGCGCAAGGAGCCTCCAAACGCGTCTTTGGCGAGACGCACAGACGCACATTGCGCCCTCTCGCTTGTCAACGCTCCTCGGCAGCGTCTCCATAGATCCGTCCCGAAAGCGGATCTGGCCCCAAAATAGGGCGGCTCGGAATCGATGGCGTGGCGCCGTGACCCGATCCAGTAGCTTCGATTCGCAAGCGCCTTGCGTCCGTGTGAACCGCCACCCATATGCGCTCGGGTAAGTCAACGTCGTCCTCGGGAAGCTCTCTCCTCTGGACGGTATGTCGGATGCATCGGCTGGACGAGCCAAGGCGTGAAAGGTGGCGCCCAGGCTTCCGAAAATCGAGCCCTTCCAAAGGCATGTGCATCGTCTCGCCTGGAATGACGAGCGGTGTGTAGACACCTGATGGCACGTGTGACAGTTGCCCACGCTCAGACCCCTGAAAGGCGCGTGTGTACCATCGGATGGGTGGATGCGAGTGCGCCTCCCGCTCGGACCTCGATCCTTCGACAACGAAGCATCGGCTACCGTCACAAGATGCTGTACCGCGGCCAATGGGATGGAACGACGATGGCGCCGTGTCAACGCGAGCTGCAGGTGCCCTGCCCTACAGCATTCTAACCAACGCCCAACCGCCGAAACGAGGCTTTTCGCAGAAGCTCATGCGCCTCGCCAAATCTCGCGACAAGACGCCTTCCGACGGCCAAAAAAGGCTGGCTGGAAGCATCGGCATCGGTAGCGTGCAATCCAAATCGGGCTCCCTCTGAATCGGAGATCGCAACTACGAATCGGCACGATCCCGTCGGAGCGGACAACGACGGTCGGCATTCACGCAGCAGCGTCCGGTCGGCCGTCTAGTCCGCCCACCTTTTCCGTGGTTGCCGCCATTGAGCCCGAACGGATCTTTGCAGTTCGCACTTGGCCGGCCAAAACGGAGCATCGCCCACCGCGCGCATGCTCAACACCAACCCGCACAACACTGCACTCACGAACGAGCAGGAAACCATTCAAGATTACAGGGTCTGTTGAAAGACCAGTGCGGACCAGGGGAGACACAAAGACAGGGGGCATTTAGGAGAGTTAGGACGTAGCGCGCGCTTTAGTTTTCGCAGATCTTCTGGTACGCCTCGGCGGTGAGCAGCGTCTCGAAATCAGCAGGGTTGGTCAGCTTGATCTGGCACAGCCAGCCTGTTACAACGCAGCCAAAGCGGGACAAGAGTCAATATCGATGCAGTGTTAAATGAACGGTTGGAGGGGTTGAGTACGCACCTTCGCCCTCGGGCTGCTTGTTGAGCAGGCTTGGCTCGTCGTTGAGCTTCGAGTTGACTGCCTCGATCTGGCCCGACACGGGAGCGTAGATGTCCGAAGCCGCCTTGACCTAGAGATGCGGGCGGAGCATTTTGAAAGCGAGAGCATGACTGCACGTCAGTATCCGATCGGCTTTTCCAGCTCGGCTGGTGGTGGAAATCACTTACAGACTCGACAGCTCCGATGTCATCTGAACATCGTGCGTGCAGGCAAGAGGGATGGTCAGATAAAGTCAGCCTGGGTTGCGATGATTGCGTCGGTGATAATGCAGATACGCACCGCCCTTCTTGACCTGCGCACCCGCCTCGGGGAGCTCGATGAAGACGACGTCGCCGAGCGACTTCTGGGCGTAGTCGGTGATTCCCACCGTGCCGATGTTGGTGGCATCGTCGAACGACACCCACTCGTGCTCCTCGGTGAAGCGCTTCTGCACGCCCCACGCGCGCACGCTCGACGCGAAGCCAGCACGCATCGGCGCCGCAAACGGCTTGGGTGCGGCGCGCACGGCAGACCTGCCGAGCAGCGAGACAGACGGGCGAAGAGCAGCGATCATGTTGTAGTTCCGACTGTCCGTGGTGAGAGAAGGGGGCCAAAGGTGGTGGATGATGGAGAAGAGAAAGAGAGCACAGGAAGAAGCGGGGGGACGTGCGTCGAGGGTAGCCGATTGGTCAGTCCGGGTATGCCTATCTGCTGCTGCTGCTGCTGCTGCT